TATGTTTACCAAACCAAGCACCAACACTATAGTGAACATAGATTTGCTTTCTTTGGGCAATGCCAGACTTGGCTAAACTGCAAAGTTTCAGACAAAGGGTGCCTTTCTGTAGCCAATCTGCACTGGCAGCAATTCTTGCACTTGCCAAAGAGCAGGGCATACCTGAGTGCCACAAAAGGAAAGATATCAGGTCCAGTGTCCAGCAATTGGTCCAAAGTTTGCAGCTGTATGGGCCTTTGCTGGTCACAATATCAGCTGTCACTTTGAGTGGTGGATCAGACACCTTAGTGTTTGGCAATATATTCAGCTACCTGGCAGGGGCTTATGCTGCAGGAGGTGCTTTTGCTTTGTACCTTGAAAGGGTACATGCCAAGTGCCCCAGCAGTTTTGATAGACCATGGAAGTGCATATTCTGTTCTGACGAACTTCACCCAGGCAATCAATTGGCCAGTGGGGCAAGGAAGACATGGGCCTTGTACTTTTCCTTTGCTGAATTTGGTAGAGACCTATCAAAGTCTGACCTGTGATTTACTTTATTAACCACCAGATCTGACCAGGTGGCACAGCTGCAAGCCAACATTGGCCAATGCTTCAGACTGATCCTTGAAAACATGTTTGAGAACCCATTTGCACACCCCCATGCTGGGGTGCTGCTGCAAAGGGGGACTTCGAGGTTGAAGCTATTTTGGACTTTGGGATTTTTCCTTCAGGATGGCAGCGCTCAAAAATTCACATTCTCCAATAAGCAAGACAGTGGTTCCAGGGTGTGTATGCATTGCAAAAACATTTTCAGGCTAACATCCAAAGATGATGATCAAGGCCAAAAAGAAATTTCAAAATACATCAAGCACAGCCAACTTGACATTGCCAGTGACCAAGAAATCCTGAGTTCATGGTCAAGGATGGAGAGCGGAGCCTCTTCATGCAGCAAGGCAGAAATGAAGACTTGGTGTCAAGCAGCTGGCATTGACTGGTCTGACCAAGCACTTCTGGCCAGTCCTATACTTAAGAAGCAAAACATTTTGCAACCCATCACCCAGTACATGCATGACTTTATGCATGGCTTGGCTTCCAATGGTGTATTGACCTTTATTACATTTCTTTTGATCCAATCATTGTATGACAGTGGTGAGGTGGGCATCTGGAAGCAGCTTCATGGATTTGTCACATTGTGGGTGCACCCAAAGAAAGGGAAGGTGGATGTGCACAGGCTCTTTGAACCCAAAGCAGTCGAATCTCACAAGAAAGCTTCTAAATTCAAGTGCTCAGCGAGTGAAATGCTTGGAGTTTGTGAAATCCTTGCATATTATGTGGATTTGTGTTGCATTCCACATGGGCTATGCATTGCAGCTTGTCGATGCTTCTTGGATTGGTGCAAAGTCTTGACCTATTGTGTGGCAATTCCTTCCTTGCAAAGGCCTTGCCACAAACATTTGCTTGAGTTGGTGGAAGCAGCACTGGCTTCTACCATCAGTGCAGGTTGGTCAGAAGAGTTCAGGCCTAAGTTTCATTGGGCTATGCATTTCAGTGATGCTTTGAAACTCCATGGTCAACTCCCTGGGGTTTGGTCTTTGGAAAGAAAGCATAAGGACATCAGGAAACATGCAAATTTGCTCTGCAACACATCATCCTATGAAAAATCTTTGCTGGCTTCAGTGATTGCTGAGCATATGCATTCATTGGAAACACATGAGGAAACTTTCAGGGAAGGATGTTTTTTGGAAAATGTCAGACAGCCCACCAAGAAGATGATGGCAGCACTTCAAAGCAGTGGATTGTTATTTCTTGACAGCACATGCATGTGCAGTTCAACCTGCAGACTGGCTTCTGGGGCTACCATCACAAGTGGTGATGTGATATATTTACAATCAGCATCCTCATTGCCTTTCTGCGCTGGCCAAGTCCATTGCTTCTTGCAATTTTCCTTTGGGGAGGTTGCCTTTGTGGAGAAGTACATGGCTGGAGACAAGGCATTATCCACATTGGTGTCAAAATGGAATGTGCCCTCTCCCAGACACTTGACATTTGTGTCTTTGGAAGAAATCCTCTGTTCAGTGACATATTCAAGTGCCAAAGGCAAAGTCACTTGTCTCACCCCACCATATTTGTTGGCCAGTCAGTGAAAAATATGTGTTTTTGTGCATTCTATGCAATGAAGATGCGATGGGTTACATTGAACAAGGTTTGTGTTAAGAGTCTATAGCTGGTGTTTGAGTGCTAACCAATCAATTCACTTTTCATTAGCCTTGCAGGGCTTTCATTTTTTGTTTTTGAGCCACACATTGGGCTGCAAGTTTCCATTGCTTTCTATGTTCAATTTGCTTTAAAATCTTAATTCTAAGTTATAACATTTTTATTGAAATTTTGATGTTAATGGCGCTAAAAAACTAACATCCTTAACTAGTTATAACTAGTTAATAACTGTTAGCTAATTATGTTAATTTTGTTAACCTGTTAGCAACACCCCAGCCCATCTAAGCAAAGACAAACAGCGACCGCAAAGACACATCCACGACACACAGCCAC